ACGAGCAATCCACTAGAGTACCTTTTGGCGCTCCGCCGGGAAAAGGTCAAGAACCCCTCACAATCACCACGATCGGAGCCGGAGACAATCACCACCCTCCGCTCAACGATCCTCGCTGCTTCAAGCCGTCTAGATGGCGGCAGCCACCAAGAGTAACAAGCGAATCCCGCAGCGAAACACGAACACCAAGTGCCTCTAGACGCAAACACTCAAGCAATGCACTTGGATTCTCTCCCAATCTCACAAAGATGATGAATCAATGATGGTGATGAGTGGGAGGGCTTTGGCTAAGCTCATAAGGTTGCTATGTCAATGCAAATGGCCAAGAGAGTGAGCTTGAACCAGCCATGGGGCTTAAATAGAAGCCCCCACGAAATAGAGCTGTTGTACCCCTTTACTGGGTACACCGTGGGGTGACCGGACTCTGAACCCAGCGTCCGGTCGCTCAATGTCAGCCACGTGTCACACTGCATTCGATAGGAGTCGTCTGATCTCAATGGTCATCTGTTGACTGGATGCTCCGCTACAACTGACCGGACTCTGAGCCTCCAGCGTTCGGTCGTTTCCAGTAAGGTTCTAGAAACGCATTTCTTTGACCGGACGTGTCCGGTCGTGCTTGACCAGACCCTGCCAGGGTCCGATCACACTATTACTTCTTACTGTGCCCTCGACAACACGACCGGACCTAGACCCTTAGCGTCTGGTCTGTCCATGACCCAGCGTCCAGTCATTCACCGACGCTGGCGTCTTCACTGCCATACATGGCCGGACACGCCGGTCCCCCAGAGGTCCAGCGTCCGGTCACTGTATAGCCAGCGACACTGACTCCTTTTCACTTCTATCTTCTTCACCCTTGCTCAAATGTGCCAACCACCAAGTGTATCGCCTTGTGCACATGTGTTAGCATATTTTCACAAACATTTTCAAGGGTGTTAGCACTCCACTAGATCCTAAATGCATATGCAATGAGTTAGAGCATCTAGTGGCACTTTGATAACCATATTCCGATACGAGTTTCACCCATCTTAATAGTACGGCTATCAAACCTAAATGTGATCACACTCTCTAAGTGTCTTGATCACCAAAACAAAATAGCTCCTACAAATTATACCTTTGCCTTGAGCTTTTTGTTTCTCTTTCTTCTTTCCAAGTCGAAGCACTTGATCATCACCATGCCATCATCATCATGCTATGATCTTCATTTGCTTCACCACTTGAGTGTGCTACCTATCTCATGATCACTTGATGAACTAGGTTAGCACTTAAGGTTTCATCAATTCACCAAAACCAAACTAAAGCTTTCAACATGCGGCCGAGAGCGGCATGGAGGTTCTTGAAATTGCCCTGCAAAATCTAGAAAAATCAAACCAAGATGCATCTGTTCGACTTCTGTTGTGCCACCACGACGAATCATGCACCGCCACCGCGGGCTCGTGGTCTCGGTCCCCGCACGCCTCTGTGTCCTCGCGCGCTGCCGCGGCCCGTCGCCTCCTCGCCCGCCTGCGCGACATTGCACCTGCGCAGCCCACACATGAGAGGCCAGGGTTTCGAGCTGTCACCACCGGACGCGACGAACGCGAGGGACCACAGCCTGCAAGGCCACATCCGCCGCCGCAGCATTCCACGGCGACCATCGGCGCGCGGAGGAGGGCAAGCAGGCGGCGGCCCGCGCGTCCTCGCCCGGCGGCACGCCTCACTGGCCTTTCCACGTCCCCGCCCTACGACACCTCTATCGCGGCCTTGCCTTGCCCGACAGCGGCGGGGCGTGTCGATCGCGGCAAGGAGGGACGGTGAGCAACAGGGAGCGACACAGAGTATATCCCTACAAACTGCATAGCATAATCGCACGGAGTATATCCTTCATCGAATCCTTCACCGATCTGCTCAGGTGGAACTACTCCTGCACCCGCCAAGTAGATCCTTCACTGGATCCGCGGTGCTACCTCTTGAGCCTGCTGACCGCTGCATCGAGGGAGGCTTGGGCGGTGGAGGGGTGGGCGGCGTGAGAGAGGTTGGCGGCCGCCCGAGTTGAAGCACGATGGAGGCAGCGCGTGTGGCTCGAAAGAAGTCCATCAATGGAGGCTCAGATCCCGCGCCCGCCGACCACGGCCCTGACCAAAACGCCCATGGACCCGGCGTGTGGGATGAATGAACGCGATGTCCGCATCGGCGGGGGCCTCATGACGGCACGGCTTGCGGCCACGACGCCCAGCTGGAGCAGGGGAGGCCGCCTGAGCCGAAGAGGAGGAGAAGCGGTTGGGGGAGGACGGGGATGCCTTGGCCTTGCGCCCCCGAAGCAGGCTAGGGTTTTGCGGCGTGGAGGAACAGCTTGCGGACATTTTTTTTTTCTTTTTACTAGAGAAATTCACATGGGATTCAATCCCTGGCCGCGTGGAGGGCGTGCGGGGGGCGCACGGGGTGCGGTTGCGTGAGGGGTGAGAAGCCTGGCATCACACATCGAATCATGTCCATCGGATTTGGTTTAGGTGTTTTATTAGCTCTTGATTTTAATAGAGACGATTTCTTTTGCATATTTTCCTGGGTGCACAATGGTGGAGGCTCTCAGCGGGGAATGTTTTTCTGAGGGAACATAGTATAATTTTGATCGGTCCATTATAGTAGAGATAAAAAATCTATGATATTAAATTAATATTACTTTCTTAAATTTAAAGTACAAGTTATTTTGTTTTTTTAGATATATAGATAATACCATGTATCTTGACATAGTGTATATTTAGATAAATAATATATCTAGAAAAGCCAAAGTACCTTATAATTATGGATGGCCATGCAACACATGGCCCCGACAGTCTGGCCCGAAGCCCTATTTTTTAGCCCAACACGAGGACGGCACGACCCGGTGGCCACCGAGCCCATGTCAGCATGGCCCAATCCAGCGTGTCACGCCTGGGCCGCTCCGCAGGCATGTTAGACGACACGGCATGGCCCGCTTTTTCCCTCACGCACGACATAGGCTGGCTTTATTTTATATATATATATATATATATATATATATATATATATATATATATATATATATATATATATATATATAATCTAGGATCCTAGCTTTCTAACCGTAATCTCACCGGAGGTGCCGCTTGCTCTACTCAACGTAGAGCCGCGTCTCGCGTGAGGTTCCTCCCTACCCGAGGCAGACCCCTCAGACCTTCTTGGGTCTTCTTTGCTCGAGGCTTCCTCCTCTCGTCTAAGGCCTCGACGCTCCGACCACGATGACTCTTATGAGCGTCGGCTCCTTCTTTCCCAGACCCTATCGCGACGACCCCTATGAACACCGGCTCCTCTCCTTCCTCCTCGACATCTGCTCCAACTCTCTCTTCCCCTCGTGGACTCTCCTACATGCCTCGGGTGCACCGGCCTCGAGCGCAACAGGCACGAAGGCAAGCCCGCCGGTCGCGCGGGCGCCGCGGCGGCCACGACTTCTTTCCCCCTTCCCTCTGTTTGGTGGGCCACGGGCTGGCCCAGCATGCTAGTTGTGGCAGGCTACTCGAGTCAGTTCGACCCAAAAATTTCTCCATCCGTTCAAAATTATAAGTCGTTTTGATTTTTTCATTAATTTTGCTATGTATATAGATATATTATTATATCTACGTACATAGCAAAATAGATGTACCAAAAAAGTTAAATCGACTTAGAATTTGGAACATATGGAGTAATAGGCATGGCGTGCCGATGGCCAGGCCTACGGGCGTGCTTTTGCCGGCCCGAGCGACATGTTTGGACATCTGTATACTTAAAATTGCTTGTTTTTTTTTTCAAAAAAACGAGACGTGCATCGCTTTGAAGTACAGCTGCCTTCGCGGAGGTTTCCTGCTCGGTGGAAAAGGAGATAAGAAACCACTATTGTACCGTGACTTTGAGTAGGCCCCAGATGGTCTTGCACGCCACTGCTGCTGTGGTGCTGACGTGCAGTGATACTGATCGATGGATTCTATGGTTCATTGGTTCCTGCCTGTCCAGTGTTTGTCCTTGTCTCGCCTTCGGAAAATACCAAGTTGCAAGCGACGTACTCCTGCCAGCGGAACTGCGGAAGGGCCCCAAACGACAAGTCCTAGGCAGGACAGACACGTGGGAGACTGACTGAACGGCCTTTTCCTGATGTGTCTGTAGATTTGCAGCCTCTTCGCTTGCTCGTAAACGATCGTAAATTTCCAGCCAGGAACAATGTTTTTCTCTCACACTAAATCAGTCAGCAGTAAATAATCCACGATACGATACGGCCTCCCGAACAGGCTGTTGGTGTTCCTGATGTTGCAACTTGGGATCTTCTGTGAAGTATACATGACCATCACATTCCGACTAAGGCCCTCTTTGTGCAGCTTCGGGCGGCTCCGGCTTTCTCTGCTGTGCACTGTTCATGTCCTACGCGAACACTATTTATTAGAGCCGGTTTTCTCTCTCTTCGTTTCCTCTCTCACAGAGCCGTTCTGAGGGGGAGAAGACGTAGAAAATGGCAAGTATCGGGTAGAAGAAGAATTGTAATGGCAAGTTTCAGAATAGGTGAATTGTAATGTCAGATTTCCAAAGTTGAAGAATTATAATGACGTTGATCCAAATAACCCAATTTAAAATTGATTGCTTTTTTAGAAAAACGAGACGCGCATCTTTTTCAAGTACAGCTGCCTTCGCGAAGGTTTTCAGTCCAACTCGGTGGAAAAGGATTTGCACGCCACTGGTGCAGTGATGCTGATCGATGGATTCTATGGTTCCTGCCTGTCCAGTGTTTTGTCCTCGTCTCGTCTTCGGAAAACACCAAAAGTTGCAAGCGACGTACTCCTGCCAGCGGAACTGCGGAAGGGCCCCAAACGACAAGTCCATAGCAGAACAGACACGTGGGAGACTGACTGAATGTCCTTTTTTTCGTTTTCGTTTTCGTTTTTTTGGTTTTGGAAGTGCAGGCAGACTGACTGTCCATTTCCTCTCCCTATAAAGCTGACGAAACATCTCGCTGGCCGGCCGGCGTCGAAGAGCAAGCAGCAATGGCGCTGGAGATCGAGCACACCCACCTCCCCATCCGCGGCCTCAACCTCCACGTCGCACACGTAGGCAAAGGTGAGTCTCTGGCATCATCATCATCGTTGCTTGAGTTGAGCTGATGGATCCCCGCGGAGAAGCAGAGCATCAATCACGTGTGGCGGCTGCGTGCTGTTGCCCCTGTTGGTTTGTGTGTTGCAGGTGACCTGGGCACGGTGGTGTTCCTGCACGGCTTCCCGGAGATATGCAGCCTGATCCCTTCGTAAATTTTCAGTTGACAACAGTATTTTTCTCTCACACCAAACCAGTCAGCAGTAAATAATCCACGATACGATACGGCCTCCCGAACATGCTGATGGTACTCGTGGCGCCACCAGATGGTGGCCGTGGCCGCGGCGGGGTACCGGGCCATCGCGCCAGACTGTCGCGGGTACGGCCTGTCCGACCAGCCGCCGGAGGACGAGGAGGCCTCCCTTGACGACCTCGTCGCCGACGTGCTCGGCATCCTCGACGCCCTCAGCGTCCCAAAGGTAAAGCAACAGCTCACCAAACGGATGGAAGGACCATCCAATTCCAAGAACTGAGTTGTTGCCGCGCGCGCGTGCAGGCGTTCTTGGTGGGCAAAGACTTCGGTGCCATGCCGGCGTACGAGTTCGCGCTGCAGCACCCGGACCGCACCCGCGGCGTTGTGTGCCTCGGCATCCCCTTCAGCCCTGTTCCCTTCTCCTTCGACACCATGCCCGAGGGCTTCTACGTCCTGCGCTGGCGCGTGCGTAGCACTGACTGACCGCATCACCTGTGATTGAACTCTTCTTCTTATCGAAATCGACACGACACTCTGCAGCTGGTGTTCCTTTTGCTTCTCTTCCGCAGGAGCCAGGCAGGGCGGAGGCCGACTTCGGCCGGTTCGACGTGAGGCGCGTGGTGCGCACCGTCTACGTGCTCTTCTCCGGCGCCGAGATCCCGATTGCCAAGGAAGGGCAGGAGATCATGGAGTTGGCCGACCTGTCGACGCCCCTCCCGGCGTGGTTCACTGAGGAGGACCTGGACGCCTACGCCAAGCTCTACGAGAAGTCCGGCTTCGGCTACCCGCTCAAGATGCCGTACAGGTTAGCCGCCACCGCACTAGCTCCTCTCGCCCGCATCCAAACGAACGGCAGAGACTGGAGACTAGAAAGACTCTGATGTTCCTTGCTTTTTTTGCTTCCATGGAAAACTGATTGGGCAGAGCTATACACAAGATCCCGAACCAGCTGGACGCCAAGTTCCAGGTGCCGGTGTTCATGGTGATGGGGGAGAAGGACTACTGCTTCAAGTTCCCGGGGTTCGAGACCGCCATGCGCAGCGGCATCATGAACAACTTCATGCCGGACCTCAAGATCGCCTACATCCCGAAGGGGAGCCACTTCGTGCAGGAGCAGCTCCCGGAGCAGGTCAACGACCTGCTCCTCGGCTTCCTAAGCGACCATCCCTCCGCGGCATAAGGAGAGGGTGAGAGACTGTGACCGTGAGAATAATATGATTCTTGAGCAATTGGGGTTTCTCTATTGCCGTTGCCTGGATCCATGACCGTGTTAATTAGCACATACTCAAACAAGATGTACGTTTTTTCTCGGCAATAAAGATGATCGTTGTTACATTACTCGATCGTTGCTGTAGGTAGAGGTGCTTTGGATGCGATTGAATGATCTACAAAATCCAAAATGCTTTGGATGCTTATTTTAGCTGCAGCTGCAGTTATGGCTACAAACAATCAACTACTATCTACTTAGCTATAACTAAAGTTTAGTCCCTATCACATCGGACGTTCGGATGTTAATTAGGATTAAACATGAGCTAATTATAAAACTAATTGCACAGATGGAGACTAATTTGCGAGACGAATCTATTAAAATTAATTAACCTATCATTAGCACATGTTTACTGTAGCACCATGTTGTCAAATCGTAGGCTAATTAGGCTTAATAGATTCATCTAGCAAATTAGTCAGTTTTATAATTAATCTATGTTTTACTTCAAATTAGTATCAAAATTATCAAACATCCGATACGATAGAGATTAAACTTTAGCTAGGGTATCGAACACTCCCGTGACACAAAAAAAAAACCGCAGGCCTGCAGCGAGCAGGCTGACTGTGTCAATTGGGTTTACGTGGACTTGATTACTTTAGAGGCTGACCAGCCTTTAATGGCTAGATTTAAATTTATGACATGGGACCTAATATATATCTAATCTTAGCGAGCAATCGTAATGACAATTTGAACAAAGTTCGATAGCAATTATTGCTCTGTTCGCTTGGCTGATAAACCATGATTGAAAGTACCGTTAGTTAATTTGTTGTGAGAGAAAAATATTGTTCGTTGGTTGAAAAAGTACGGCTTATAAACCAAGCGAACAGGACGCATAATAAGTTATCTCTAACAATTTTAGTTAGTTTCACTAAAATTTTAATGTGTGAACGCGATGTCTCAAATTAGAGCCTGACTTTTGAAGTGGGGTCCACATATATTTATATTTAGTCACCCTGATCTACGTAGAGTAGCCAACAACCATGTTAAGGGCGTGTTCGGCTGGCTGGCTGCCGGCTGGCCAGCCACCTCACAGAATCACTGTTCACGTCTTGCCATAACAGTATTTTTCTCTTACAACAATCAGCTGGAACAATATTTTTCAGTCCTGCCGAACAGGCCCTAAGTTATTTCTAGAAAAAAATAATTTATTTCACTAGCTTTTTAAGGTGTCAACACAAGATTTTTCATTTTAGGGTCCCATTTTTTTTTTTTGACATGGATCCTACTTATATACTACTACTCACATTAATCTGCACAAAGTAGCGCACGATCCTAGTGAATTACTTACAGCGAATAATCAATTTCGCTTAAATTTAATATATGAATACGCCCTTTTTGTTATAGGATCAAGCTTTTGACGTGAGGTCCATAGTCATGTTTGATTGCACAGAAGTAGCAAGTAATCGTGTTGACATATATCTCGTAAATTTTAATCGATTTTGCTAAAACTTTAAGGTGTGAACGTTGAGAAAATGGCATGAACGAGTTGCCTCTCCCTTGTCAGACCCGACTCCATGTTTATAATGACCAGGAACAGCCCCGGGTGTGGCTTGTACAACATTCCAACTTATAAGAGATAGACTCTACAACAAACTAACAAATTCTTCTATCTTTGTGTACAAGAGATGGCGCATGCCTAACAGACCTAGGCGGACGCCTAACGACCGTATCTCCTAACAAACGTGAGCTTTTAAATTATGAGGTTAGGTAGTTATGATAGTTTTATTATTATTATTGGATTATATTCGATGGATTTCAGGATTTTGACTTAATAGCAATTGAATTATATTAGACATTAATCATTTTGCATCAAGATAGGTTTGGACTTGGAATTTTTCCTAGATTTTAATAGGATTTATCCAATGGATTTTGATACTAATTCAATTGTCACCTCTAGATGTACGTTTGGTGCATCCATTATCTAAAAAACGTTTGGTGCATCCTGTTCATTTGATTTGTTCTGCTCGATGACTTGACGCGAAGGGATCCGCTCCTTGTTCATCTTGGTCACTTGCTTGGCTAATCTGCAAGGAGCTGCGTGTTCAACCACAGTCGAATCCACACGCAGCGCAACGACTCGGACGGCTTGCAACTAGCAAGTTAAAGATTGACGAACAGGTCCGCCTCTGTCAAGAAGTCAGTCCAGATCACTAGGATTGTCGTTCAACTTTTTTTTTTCAAAAGAACGGCAAATTTTTTGCCATATTTTAATTTCTTACTAATTATTCATGTAATTTTCCTATGATGTTCAACCCCATACCTTGCTAAGGTACAGCAGCATAAATTTTGAGAGTCTTAGATGGCAAGCTAGGATTTCACCGTCACTACTCTAATCTAACCATATTAGTTTGTAGTTCGTTAGTGCTATATGAGTTCTCAATATCTCCTACAACTAAAAATAACAAAGCGTAGACATTTTTTGATGCGACATTTGTTTTGGTTCGTCCGTCTGCCCACACCTGCGTTCCCGCACCCGTCGCTCCCTCGGTCTGCCTTCCTCTACGATCCCCCCGCTGCCAGCGCCATTATATCCGGGCACCCCCGCCTTCGGTCCTCTCTCCCGGGACAAAGCGCCGGACCCCCGCGCCGCCCCAGCCTCCCTCCGCACCGCACCGCCTGGCGTCCCCTCTCCGGGAGCCTGGGAGCCTCTCCCCCGTGCGATCCCACGCGCCCGTCACCTCCCTCTTTCACCTGTCCGTGCGGTGGACCCGGCTCTGCGCTCCCTCGCGTGCATGGTCTTCCCTTCCCCCTCTCCCACACGTGCGACTCATGGACTCCTCTCATCTCCCACACGGATGAACCCCAGGCAGGGCACCAGGCGAGGCCGCCCGCCCAGGACGCCGGGCCGCCGGCCATAGGCCCCATCGAGCGGCTTCCTAAAGGCGGCAGCGGCGGCGGCGGCGCTGGGCACGAGGGCCAGCTGGGAAGCCAGAGGTCGGGCCGAGGCGGAGGCGCTACTGGGATGGGGTGGCCGTGGCGGAGGCAAGCGGTGAGGTGGTGGCTCGAGGCAATGCCACGAGAGGCCAAGGAGGCAGCCTCGCCGACATGATTGACTGCTACTGGAGAAGGAGTTCCCGAATCCGAGGGCGAGCAGGACGGTGGAGGTGCGTGGATCTCGCCAACTCCGGGATCCATCGATCCGTTCGGGCGTGGGATCTAGTTCTGGGCGGTGTGTGTGGGTGGGCGCGGTGGCGTGTCTCGGTGGCCGTCTTTGTTTAGATCTCGGCATCGGTGGTTGGAGCGTGTGGGGCGTTGAGAATGGAGGTCCCGGTTTGGGCTTGGAGTTGCTTGTGCTAATCTGTACTCTGTTTTTGCGAGAGGCGAACCCCGGCGGCTTCAACAACACGGTGATCTCGAGAAGCGTGAGTTCATTGCGCCATTTTGTTTTGTGTGCGCCCCTTTGTAAGGAGGTGTCTTTGATTCTGGATTCAACATTGGGTCCGCCACAACTAGGTTTTGGGTGATTTGCTCACTAATTGCATGTTGGAATTTGTGAATGAAAGGACATTCGCTTTTGGACCGACTGTGCTCGATTCCTACACAAGGCATATCATCAATGTCATCATTGACTCACCGATGAAACCCTTTCATTTGCATAGGTGGTTTTCATGAATAAAAACAATTTAGAAGCTAGGACCCTGTCCAAACCTGCAAATGTAACAAAAGATCTAGCTCCAGGTATACCTTTCTCAAAGATCATTCACTTGTGAAGCTTACTTTAGACATAGAGTGTAAAGGTACACTATTAGTCGACTCTCGAATAGAGGCACACATTTATTCAAATCTCTGCTGCATATATCTTTATCAAAAGCGTAATTAGGGCCTCAGATTACAAAACCAATAGGGAGAGAATTAACAAGAAAATTTATAGCTTCGGTCCTTAATACCTCCATGATAAACTTTAGTTACATAATTGAGTATTTGCCACTTTGGGTAAAATTGTACCTACATCCCGTGTAAATTTATAGTTTCGATTCAGAGGGACTTGACAATAAAACGCATGAAGATACATCAATCTCGGGTCTAAAGGCAGGCTTCGACGACACAGCAGTAGCAGTGGTGCAGCAGCAAGAGGTTCAAGGCAGTACAAGGGCCATAATCTGTCGTCATCGACGAAATTTCCACTCCCAGGTAAGCTGAACCATCCATACACTTTTTGTCAACTTTACTTTCCTGCTGCTGTGAAGAAACAGTTGTT